AGGCCAGCGCTCTACCACTTGAGCTACAGCGCCACTTCCGGTTTTCTGGTAGTTTATTGGAGATAGGAGTCTCACAGTCTCTCCTGCCCGGGCTGGCTTTGAACTGCGATCCTCAGATCTCAGCCTCCTGAGTAGCTAGGATTACAGGCGTGAGCCACCAGCGCCCGGCTTAGGCTCTACATCTTAAATGGAAAAATTGTGGCATAAATTGATGAAGATTTAAAAAAAAATCTGATAGAAAGTGAAATGTTTAGAATTGTGCCTGGAACATGTCAAGTGCTAAACCAACTGTTGTCTTCAACATTTCTTTATCTCCCTGTTTTTGTTTTGTTTTTTAGAATAAAACACTGTGGGAAAAAGAGTAGCAGATTTTCTGGCCTAAATAAGAATCTTTGGAGAATGGCCTACTATCTATAGAGTTGAGTATAAATGGATTGTTAGAATTTCTAATTCTTACAATTTTAAGTATAGCAAAATTTAAATATAGCAAGTTTTAAGAACAATTTTAAATATAAAAAATATTTGATACATAGTATCAAATAGTAACTAACATTTCCTGAACATATTGTGAAAGTCCAGAGTTTCCTGAGTGTTTCTTACCAATTAATTGATATAATGGTTATTTTAGAGTTGAGGAAAATGAGGCTGATTGAGTAAATAACTTGTCCAAGGTGACACAATTATGGTCATGGCCAAGATTCAAACTCAAGCAGTCTGGCTCCATAGTTTATGCATATCCATTGTGATCCACTGTCTTTCACACAAATTATGTAATTTAGTTTTCTTGTCACCATGTTTTGTTTCATTTATGGTGAACATAAATTAAGTTGGAAACATTAGTTAATTTCAACTTTAAAATGTTGCATTTTCTGTTCTGGAGAAGAGTTGCTCCTGATGTCACATGCTAGAGCCCCAATATTTGTTCAGTGGAAGTAGAAGATTTCTAATTTTAATCTCATCAAGGCATGCAGACACATGCACACTTCTTCAGAAACGTCACTTTATACTTCAATTACATATGTTAAGGGTTGTGACTGAGGAATATCACTTTATAGACTTTCTGAAATTCACCTGCTTTTTCTACCATCCTGTGAGCATTAAAATAATTAGATCATATCGAATCTAAACCTATAAAATGAATTCTTTTGTAGGATTTGCAAATGAAGAATATTGTGCTAGACTGTACTTTTTGCGTTCTTTAATACAAAAAGATGAGATTGCTCTCAAAGTGGGCAAAACTAAATTGCCACTAGATGGAGCTCTGACTATTTGGGTAGAAAAAAAGCAATGCCGGGAGGCCATTAAATCACAGTCATATCATGCTGGAGGAGCCCTGGTATTTGCTGCCCTCAGCTTTTAATTGTAGAAAGCATCTTTGTTCTTTGCCTGACCTGCAGAGTGACATCACTGCCTTTCTTCCTGTGCGCTGGTTTTGACACAAGCCAGATGGCCACAGTGATGGGTAGGCGCCCAGGCTGCCTGGTACAGCACTTGATGAAACAGAATAGGAAGACGTTTTATGGTTAGCTGCAGGAGCACAAAGAGGCTGCAACTTTGTTAAATGATTACATTTGCCCTGCATACTTCATTTCTCACTGAGAAGGATCTCAAGGAAGAAAAAAGTACATTTTTATTGATAGCATTGTGAGGTATAGACTTTTTTTGGGGAAAAAAGAAGTACATTTTTATTCAGTGTTGTGAGGTATAGACCTTTTTTTTTTTTTAAAGTACATTTTTCTTTATAGTGTTGTGAGGTATAGACCTTTGATCTTTTATTAGTCAGTAGTCTGCTCCAAAGGCATGCTCTCTTTCCCTGCTCTGCAGTCACTCGTGAAAATGACATGTTTATTTATGTTTAATGGTTCTTTCAGGGTGTGCATTGTGATACTTACCTCCCCTCTTCCTCCTCTTTGTCTCCAGTTAGTAACACAAAAATGTTTTAGTTTTGTAGAGAGTGTAGTTTGGAGAAGTCAGAGTTCAGGCATGTTAATACAAGCAGATTTCTGTCAGATAGACTCCAGAGTGATTTAGTAAAATATATTACTGTTTATTATGTGTTTGTTCTTTGAGGAGGTCAGGAAAGTCCAGGAAAAGACTTTTATTTTGGGGTTGGGGAATGAAAGTGGTGGTCAGAAAATGAACAAGACATAAATTTTATATCCATTTTTGGATATGTGGTGGTTAAAACTACTTAAAATGCTAATTTTAAATGCAACATAAGATATTGATATTAGTGGAGTGTTTTCTATTTTCATTTAAAGCTAATCCTTACCAACTGCAATACTATAAAATATTTTTGAAAAAAAATCTTAAGAACTGAGCTTTTCTTAAAGCCTAATATTCAAAACAATTCTGAGATTCTTCCATGATTCATTTTCAGAGATTTTAGAAAAATATTTTTACTTCTTTTAAGGCTAGATTATAAGTGTTGTTCAGAGAATTTCATCTAGAAATTATAAATCATAAAATTAAACAGAAGCTTATGTTTTCTATGCGCTATTTAAGCTTAACACTTTCTAAAGTGAAGTTGCTCAGTTGTGCTTAAGGGTTTTTTTTTTTACTCTATTTTAAAAATGAGTTTCTCTAACAAAGGAATAATTCTTAATAATACAATATTTAAAAAGTCTTCTCCAGAAAAGAAATTTGCAAATAGTTGCTAGAAGAAGACATAGCAGTATAAGGAAAGATGAAAGCTGGGCGCCAGTGGATCACGCCTGTAATCATAGCTACTCAGGAGGCTGAGATCTGAGGATCACGGTTCAAAGCCAGCCTGGGCAGGAAAGTCCATGAGACTCTTATCTCCAATAAACCACTAGAAAACTTGAAGTGGCACTGTGGCTCAAGTGGTAGAGCGCTCACCTTGAGCTGAAGAGCGCAGGTACAGTGCCCAAGCTCAGAGTTCAAGCCCCACGACCGACCAAAAAATAAAAAAAGAAAAATAAAAAAAGAAAGATGATGTACTTGCAATCAGGTCTAGGAGCGTTTTCTAGTCCTTTTTCTATTGGTCATTGGCTTTGTGCCCTTATGTAAGCCTAGGTTTGCTCACATAAATATTGGGGGTTAACCCTAGTTCCCAGGTTTATTGTAAAAATTAAATAATACAATGCATATATTGGGCCCCAGACAGTTTCTGTCACATGGTATAAACTCAGTAAGAGCTGTTCATTTCAACTATTTTAAACTTCAGTCTCTTGCAAAATGCATTCATAGGTTACACAGCCATTACATCGTGCTTTTATTCATAGATCTAAATAAGCCTGGCTTGAAAGTAAGCTCATTGTCAGGAAAATAGGCATTAGAAATTTATTAGCACTATGGGTGCAATTTCAGATAAAACTCATAACCATCAACTGTTAAATGAATGTGTTTAATCTTTGTGTGTTGTATGTGTGTATGTGTGTGTTGTTTTTTCTTTTTTTTTTTATAATTTTGTCTTTCCTTTTTCTCCTACTCAGCTCTTGCCCCTGATCTTTGCCTCTGGTTTTGTTGGTGAAGATATTACAGTGATGTCTGCATTCAACCTGCTGCATTTGGTGACAAAGAGCCAGCCAGTAGCCCTTCGAGCCTGTGGGCTTCCCTCAGGTTGCTGTTTGTTATACTGTTTGTAGTGAGGGCACTGGTCTGAATGGGTGTTTCTGCTGGAGGAAATGGTACACCACCACACCTTGCTAAAGTTCATTTTCTTTTATTTGGCTTCTATTTTGAAGATGGAAATTGGTTACACATCAACACTCTACTTTGAGTAAATTCATTTCCACGTTCTTTACCAACTTTGGAAACCCTGTTGAGTTTCCTGGCCCCGTATATAATTGTCAGTAATATTTTACGATATCGTCTTGTTCCTTAGTGCACACTAAGATTTGCACATCTGCAAATCATAATATTCATAAAGAGGCTGGCAGTTTTAGTAAGAAACTGGCCAACTCACACGAAATAGGACATTCATCTTGTTAAGAATAATGAAAATGCCTTTCATTCCACATGTGGCTGTTTCTTTAGAAAAAGAAATTAAGATGAACAACTGTAGTATGATTGTTATTTATTGTAGTTACAAAGAAAAGATGATTTATTTTAACAAAGACCAGATAAACAAAACTAATACAGTATGTAAAAAGAAAAGAGGATCTACGTAACAATAGCCAGAAAAACAAAACTAATATATGCATGTGTCAAACTAGTTCTTAAATTAGAACCATTATACTTTAAAAACTATAAATTCAAGCATTTAAACAAATGAAACATAAAAGTCTAAAATTTCATTACATGTCTGTATTATAAGTTGAACATGAAAACCACAATGGTGAGATATTTCCATTAATGTACATAGTTATTATTACATTGGATACAGAATTTAATTCTAGCTTTTTAAACATGTACTGACTATTAACTATGAGTGCAAGACCTTATGATAAGCAGTCAGTATACAACAATAAAGAAGATCAAGCTAATTTTTTTCAGTAAATACAAGGTAGAGATGGAACTGAATGCAAACCTTTGGACCTAATGAATATCTGATTAGATTGGAAATGATCTGTGTCTGAGATTTTATGGGAGTCCAGAAAGGAATGATCTTAGGCCTTTTCTTTAGAATGAAATTTGAATGAATTTAGAATGAAATTGAAAGGGAGGGCTCTCTCTGAAGTTTAAGGAGGGCTCCATGGAGAAGATGGTTAATCCCATGGCCAGGGAGAGTCAAGGGCCTTTCTAACCCATGGAGAAGCATAGTTCAGAAAATACATGGCATTTATTGTGATATGGGATAGCAAGTAGGAGAGGTGAAAAGAAAAGGTAGCTAAATTGAGAAATTATATGATGTTCTAAGGAATTTAAATCTGGGAGAAAAGATAAGGGGATTAATATGAATTAATTTGCATGTTATAAAGACAAGTGATGCAGTATGGGGCAAAGTCGGTGCTGGTTTCTCGAATTTCTGTGGTGGCTGGGATGGCAGCTTGATTAGAGGGAGATACATTTGTCTTGAAGCCATATTTGGATAATAAATACATTCTGTTATTAAAAGTAGGTGTTACTGGTGGAAACTAAATTAGAGTTAATGAAGCTTAATGGATGGAGGCCCTAACTAATCTTCTCAATATCCTCCCAAGCCCTGTATACTCTATACTGCCACCACATCACACCTGCAAGAGGTTGAGGCTGGGTGGTATCATGCATTAACAATGTTTGGTACAGGTGGTTTGAAAAGAAAAAATTAGGCTGTAGAACAACAGGGTTTATCAGATGAATTGTAACTTAAGGGAAAACCTCAGAGATTGTGCAACCCCGATGCCAAGTATAACTTTTTCATTGCTATACATTATTTGCAGTAATTGGTCGGGGCATATTATTTAATTCCTGTGTGACCATGTTTTTCCACTGGAAAAGCCCAGTGGTTGAAATCACACAGCATAACTCTTGTAATATGTGTTTGCTGTACATAGTAGAGGCTAAAATTTTTTAGAAATAATGTTTAATTATCTGCATTTGTTGAGATATGATGTAGAATTAACTTTGTAATGAAATTGTTTAATAGAAATATAAAATATATTTAAAATTTAATAACAAAGCAGTTCAAAGATAGATTCAACAAAGCTGGTAATTTGAAAGAGATAGCCATTACATTACAGTGCTTAAAACATACAAATTTTAGAGTAAGACTGGGTTTGAAATCTGGCTTTGCCTATTATTAGTTGTATGCCTTGGTTTCCTTGTTTATAAAATGAAGATAAAAATAGACTTCAGCTGAAAAAAATTACTGTGAGAATTAAATAGATGGGGATGTAAAAAGTACTTAAATGTTGACTGGCATGGAGTAAGCTCCATAGATGCAGTCACACTGGATTCAGTGTAGAACTCCATGTCCATATAGCTCTATATTTTTCCATTATAATAGAATTTTAAATCATTTAAATATATAGCATCTTTTATTTAATTACTTCTAGTTTAATGGGAAACACAAATATACTTGATACTTGTCGAATTACTATCTCAATCTGTTGATTGATCTCTTTCTTTTTCTTTTACATTCTGCTAATCCAGAATCCAGGTTCTATAAGCATACAACACTTTTATTTTTCTTACCCAGTACTGATGAAAGCCAAGAGAAACTCTTTATCTTTCTTATCTCGAGCTAATAGAGTACCATTTTAATCTGATAGATGAATTGGTTAGCATAGTATTACTTAACCATTCAAGTGCTAGTTAATTTGGAAAGTCTTAGTAAAGTATCTAGTGTCTTCATATTTTATAATTTGAACATAAGCAAAATTTTTATCGTTTGTTTAACAATATTTTACTCTTAGACATACAGACATATTGGAGAAATTGTTAACGATATACAAGCATTTTAACTATTTCAAATGAAATTGAAAGGACAGCTTGAGTCCTTATACTGTGTGCAGGTAAGGAGAAAAGAAGCCCAAATTGGGGTTACGAAAAATTAAGGTGAAAGTTTGAAGTCTTGCTTTAGTTTGCCATTTTCCAGTCAAAAGTCATTACAACAAAAATGTCTAAGTAAAGAAGATTTCTGTTTCCTCTTGAGTACTCTATTAATTTTGAGTGTTATTCAATATGAAGTAATTCCAGAACTAAAAACAAAAATTGCAACAAGCTCTTTACAAAGTTGATTATTACTGAGTTGACCTGCATGAAGGCCATATCCCAAGAGAGTGTTCTATAATTTTTCAGTTTTGACATCCTTTATTTCTTATTTTTAAATAAAGCATAATTTTAATTTAAAGCTTATTAAGTGCATCTGAGTTATGGTTCTCTCATGTTTGTCATTAAAGGTAATTTTTCATTCTCAGAATTTCTTCGTAATTTCCTATAACCGTTTCTCTTAAGTATTAAAAAGCCCTGGAATAGAAGCCAGAAAACTCTTACCATAGCTGTGTCATTAACTTGTGTGACCTTGAACAAATGAGTAGACCTCTTCAGATCTCGGTTTCTTCATCTTTAAAATGAAAAAATAAAATTAGATAATCTATTTGGTTCTGAAATTCATGGCTTTTTTAAAAAATTAACGACTACTTGACATTTAACATTAGGTTAATTAAATCTTAAAACTTAGTTCCAATTAATGCTGCAGACTTACAGAAAAGTCTGCGAAGTTGTGCTGGGGGGACAGAGATGTTTCTTATTGGAGCCTTAGAATTCCTGGCCACTAAATCAGGACTTAAACATTATCTAAGGGATTAGAAAGCATGTTTTTTTTTCACATAGTTTTAATGCAGAAAAAAATTACTTGTAATTGTAGCTCAGACTAGATATCATTGTACGTTTCAGCCAAGAGTGGTTGTTTGTCTAAACAGTCCCAATTATAGTGATAAATTATACTTTTCTCAAATGCCAGGCATATAATATATGGTTGTGACTTACGTTTTAACTTCAGGGGCACTCTTAACAGTCTCCATGTTATTGGTGAGACATACAACTATGAGGTGGTTTATAAAGGTACTTAGATCACAATGTTCCAGTGGATAAAGTAGGAACGTCAAGGAGATAATCTGCACATGGTATTTGAAAGTCATACAGTATCATCTGTGTAAATAGACCTATGAACTAGGGGCTTATGGTTCCAGAGCTTTGCATAGTGCCTGGCACTTAATAAATATTTGCTAAATAAATAAACATTTGGAAAGTTTATATGTAGGTGAAGTCATAACTGTAACAAAAAGTACAACTTTGAAGCTCCACTGTATGGTAAAATTAAAAGTAAATGTGATAGTTCAAATTTATTATAAAAAACAATTTCTCACATAATTGCATGAATATAATGCACTGGATATCTTGGGTAGGCATGAAATTATAGTTAGCAAAAAAAGGGTAACAGATACAGTGTATATTCTCAAGAATTGCTTTTTTTTCCAAGCAGTTTGAATTTGGTGATATATTAACTGCTTAAGTAAATGCATATTATAATTACCATAAAACACTGGCTCATTTAATCACTTTTTTGAAAGAAATTAGTATTTTTGTGCTTTACAGTTTCCATTTTTAAATAGAAAATACCATAGATATTGCATCAAAGTACCATACACAAGTGAAAAATACTTAACTTTAAGCTAGCACTATTTCATTAATAGTAACTGATGTTATATTTACTTTAAAAATAATTGAGATTGTTAGTGTGTCATTCACTTCCTGAATGGATTGACTTTCCACTTTAGTTAAAAAAAACTTTGGCTCTGTAGAACTCTGATAAAAACTTTCACTTTCTAGAAAAAAATGCACCTGAAGGCAAATTTTAAAGGTTTTGTTGTTAGATCATCTGTGATTCTTCAGGATTAGAACCCTTGTTTCTAACAGTTACAGAAGAAATCAATATAAATCTCTGGCTATAATATTGTATTTATAATTTCTGTGTTGGTGTTGTAACACCGAATTAATGATTAATGTTCTCAATTCTCTAATTTCGCCATTATTATGTGTTCTTCGTAGCTAACTTCATTGATTTTATTAAAAAGGCTTTGGGAAGACTTTTTTGGTGGGTTGGTGGGTCAGTTGTGAGGCTTGTACTCAGAGCTTCATCTATTCTAGGCATACTCCCTACCTGAGAAAGTTGTTTTTTTTTTTAATATAAAGAG